AATAAATCAGATGGAGAAAGACGAATACTATATAATCTCACATATTATGTGGAATCTAAAAAACTCAAACTCATAGAAACAGAGAAGAGCTTGGTGGTTGCCTGGGGCGGGCAGGAGGGGAGTGGGTAAATGGGTGAAGGTGGCCAAAGGGCACAAACTTCCAATTGTAAGATGAATAATTCATGGTGGCTGTGGTAACAATACTGTGTTGTATATTTGAAAGTTGTTAAGAGAATAGTTTTTAAAAGTTCTCACCACAAAATAATTTTTGTAACTATGTACAGTGATAGATGTGTTAACTAACTTTATTGTGTTCATCATTTTGCACTGTAACCTATATCAACTTATTACTTTATATACCTTAAAATTATACCTTAAAATTATGACTCAATAAAGCTGGGGGGAAAGAAAGCAAAATTTTAATTATTTACATGAAACATGCCTTTCTATTTAATTAAATATAATTTTTTTTTTCAGTTCCTTTATATAGGCCTCTTGAGAATAACTGTTCTTACTAGTGCAATAGAGCTAATTACAAATCAGCAGATGTCACTCCCTAACTGATCCTTCTCAACTGTCCTCTGTCAATTTTAGGTGGTTATTTTTTTTTCTGCAAATTTCAACTGCCTTTTATTCATTACCAATTTCATTTTCCATTTTTAACTTCTGATGAGCTTCCAAAGACTATTATTTTTCACTCTGCGGGTATAAAGACCATAATACGAGATATGCTTTCTTTTTGAATGCCAGCCCCAGTGCAGATATCTGTATGGTTTACAGTAGCCACATGGAACATTTTTCTGCTATGTGGCTATGCCTTTGCAGCAGACATATACCTGTTATTATCATATTTTTTTTCTGATGAAAGGCACCATTTAGTTCATGAGACAAACACTGGATAGAATTGGCTACTCTTTCAACAATACTGAGCAAATACTGATTGTCTACCATGTTCTGAGCACTGTTGTGGAGAGTCAGCAGTTATAAAATAGGCAAAAAGTCTTACCTTCATGGCTCTTATATTCTAGACAGACAGAACAAAAAATCATTATAATATATAATATGTTGCATTTTGCTAGGTGCTCTGGGAAAATAAATAGGGTAGAGAGTAGAGAACACCTAGGAGGTGCTTGCAATTTAAAAAAGGGTTTTCAGAAAAGCTGTCATCGTGAAGGTGGTGACATCTGAGTAAAGACATGATGGAAATGAGAGAGAAAGCCATGTGGATATCTGAGGCAAGAACCTTTCAGGCAGAGGAAACACCTAGTGCAAAGGCGCACGTAGGCTGTCACAAGCAGTAAGACGCTTTACTGTAAGCATCTGCCAGGGACAAAAATTCAGGCAAGGCTTTTTTTGTTGTTGCTATAAAGAATCCACCTACATGAGAGCTTAATCAGCTTAAGATGAACATCAGTGCAGATCTGTTTAGTGTTCTCTCTCAGCCATGACCTCATTGCTAACACTGATGGCCTGGACTGCCTCTTAGATTTGGATGGGCCTTGGATGAACAGCCTGGCAAACCTGGATAAAACTAGAAGAGAGACATTTTAGAAGCTGTGTAGGCCCAATATATGGGGCTGGATATATTAGTCATATGCAGCCAATGATTCCAAGTTTTCATTTAAACCTAAAATATAGTCCATTACCATTTATGAACTAAGTATGTATGGCTACTAAGAACAAAGGTATTTCCTATGCCACCAAACTGTGCTTTCAATGTTGTTGTCTTCTAATCAGGACAACACAGTAAAGTGGTCTTATTAACATTAAGTCTTATGTAGACTTTCCAGAGATCGTTACAATGCACAGAGATAATCGGCACTTGGCCTATCTCACAGCTATCGTAGTAGTGTTACAATGCTCTTCTAAGCCCAGTAATCCACACTTCCTTCTAAGGGGTTTCCAATTTACTGAGAACATTTTCCTAAAGCTTCTATTATACCCCTGGAGATACTTAATAAGAATAAAATATTAAGAACCTAACAAAAGGACATTTGAAAGCAGACACTGGGTTTAGTTTATTTCAGCTCACCATTGATTTGTTAGGAGACTGAATTCCTTACACATGAAAATCGGTACTTATTTCATGAGAATATAGGTTAAGGGACAACAAAGATTTCCTTAGCAATGAGAAGGTAGTTGAACATCTAAATAGGTCATGATGACTTATCAGTATCTGAAAATAGTATTTTGTGATCATACTACAGGGGTTAGCAAAAGTAGATTTACAGTTATAATTAAACAAAACAGAGTCTATTCTTGTATTATTATTTATTAATTATTGTATTATTTTCCATATGAAAAACTGTAAACCTACTTTTGCCCACCCTTGTAGTTCTTTTTGTGGGTCATTTAGATTCACTTCAAATGTCTGATTTAAGTTAGCCATACAGAAAGCCTTTAAAATATGGCCAGGTATGTTGTTTTAAATCCAAATCAAGTATTGATCATTAGGACTGTGACTTCATAAAAATTTAGAATTATTGTAATCTAATGTGTTAAGGTTGTGCCATACTTATATTTAGCAGTGGCCAGAGATAACATTTCTATAATGAAACTATGCTGTAATCAAATCAACAACTTGGAAATTTACCAGATTTTTTTTTTTTTTTACCTTTACATCTGTCAAATTTTTTGTTCATGATATACTGAAAAAAATCATTGGAAAGAAGCAAACCATTTATCATTTTTTTCTCAAGAAAGACTGCAATCTCCTAATTAATGAGGAATCTTTTATTTTAGATGAAAAGAGTATCACAATAGGTCAATTATACCAAGTTTGAGAGAGTAAAGTCTTTCCCCTGTTTATAATTAAAATATACTATTATGGAAAGCAAAATATGTATATACATATATCTATATAAATGTGCGTGCGTGTGTGTGTGTGTGTGTGTGTGTGTAATGGGCTGTCTTCACTTGTAAATTTCTTTTGAACTAATGGGAACTTATCTCACAGATGAGATTTGTGATCTGCTAAAAATACCCTACAAAAATGATATACTCCACAGTTTAAGCTGTGATGTGCTAGAGCAGAGGGCTTACTCACAAACTCAAGTTAGTCCCCCTGGGTTAGATTCTTAGCTCCCCACTTACTAGCTGAGTAATCTCAAGCAAGACATTAAGCCATTTTGTGCCTCAGCTGAGAACATGGTGGGGCTAATAAGTGTCTACTGTGGATTATAGGAGGACTGAATGAGTTAACACATAAAACATTCTTAGAACAGTGACTGGCACATGGTCAATGTTCAATAGATGTTAATTATTCTAGCGTGCAATTAAGTGAGGAGCTATCACTAGTCTTAATAGGATGAGGTATTGGATGCAATTCTAGCATTTACATTAGGTTTGTTTCAACCACTTTTTATAGAACCAAGTATGGTTTCTGGGCTGCGAGCTCAAGGAAGCAGAGAAGGATGGCTCCTCTAAGTGAAACTGACCCCTGCGCATAAAGTGCCTGAAATCAGAGGAAGCTTGTCAGTGTGGGCAGACACAAGGGTAGACCAATGTGACTTCCCACTTCTCTCTCTCTTTTTTTTTTATCTCAAGGAAATTAATAGAGGGTACTAATGTAGAGCCTTAAATTAATTGTTCCTGCTTAATTAAGGTTTAAAACCTTGGCTTATTGTAGAGTAAACTTAGGTTTTTGATACTCATCCAAAATCTTTGTATCTCTTCAGTTTCATTGCAGAATTAAAACTATATTTACTACAGTGGATTGTTACATTAAGTCTGGTATTTCTTTCTTCCAAGAGGCCATCTGCTTCAGGAGAAAGGCAACAGGGTGCTCTCCATTAATATATCTAACTGATGGTGTAATTCCTTGTTGACCCTGGCAATTCAGAGTTATTGTCTCGGAACATAAGATCTGATCATCTCATTTCACTGCAGAACTACAAATGTGAAGATAGGCTGTGGAAGTATCAGCCCATTGTTCAACCCAGCATCCAGAAACTGCTGTTTCTTTTGATCAATTAGTCTACTCGCCACGAAAACTCAGATTACTAAAATGAGAGGGAAAGGATCGATTCTTCTGGTTCCAACTCCAAAATATCCTACCAGAACAGGTGTACATGCAAAGTAAAGTTTGCCTTAAGTGTACTCAAGTTGTACAATCGGCCCCGGGAGGGTGGAGCCCTCGCAACCTGCTTACCGGGGTGTGCATGTGTCTGTGGGTGTCGGGGCACGCGCAGACACACAGGGACCCACTTTCCTAGGGCAGCCCAATCAAAGTCTCTCTCTCACCTCAAAGGCTGTCAACTCTCACGCCCCTCCCTGCGCGTTCAGCCCCCTCCTCACTCTTCCACCCTTCACGCCCCGCCTTCAAAGTACAACTGAGCACTTTCATTGATAGGTGCTCCTCTCACTCCTAGGCTGGAACCAATCACTCGCATTCTGGCGGAGAGCGGAGGAGCCAATGGCAATGTTCGTTGCGGCAGCTGCCGGGTCCCGAGCACGGGGAGGCGGCGCCGGGGGCGGGGTGCGGGTGGGGGAATTAGTTGCCATTTGGAGTGAGGAGCGGGCAGAGACGGCGGCGGCGGCGTTTGCGGTGGCGCGGGCTCCCGGGAGCACCAGATACCTCAGGGCCCTTACTCCCTACCCGGTCCCCAGAAGCAGAAGTCCCGGCCCTCCCTGCAGCTGCGGGGCTCTCCCGAGCGTGCAGCCCCGCCTGGCTGCGAGCGGCCCCCGGACGGTTGCCTCTCTCCCCTGTCAGCGCGATGCCCGGGTCGGCGGCGGCTTCGGGCTCCTCGCGGCTCCGGCCGTGACCGCCACACCGAGCCCGACCGGGCGGTTGGGGCCGTTGGACGTTTGTTTTCGCAGCCTTCCCCTCCCCCTCGCCAAGGCGGAGGGGGTGCGCGTTGGGAAGGGGGAGCCGAGAGACTCCTCCCCCTCCCGATACCCCCGCCCCTCCCCCTTACACACTCGCACGCACTATCGCGCCGGCTCCCACACGCTCGCGCGCCTCCCGCTCCGCGCCTCCGTGTCGGCTGGCGTCGTCCAGGGCCCGTGGAGCCACCATGTCCACTGCCTCCTCCTCCTCCAGTTCCTCCCAGACCCCTCATCCCCCGCCGCAGAGGATGCGGCGCAGCGCCGCGGGCTCCCCGCCCGCCGCCCCCGCCGCGGGGAGTGGGAACGGTGCGGGCGGCGGCTTGGGCTGCGCCCCGGCTGCGGGAGCCGGCCGGCTGCTGCAGCCCATCCGCGCCACGGTTCCCTATCAGCTCCTGCGGGGCAGCCAGCACAGTCCCACGCGCCCGCCCGCCGCCGCCGCCGCCTCGCTGGGCAGCCTCTCGGGGCCCGGCGCGGCCCGCGGCCCCAGCCCGCCCAGCCCGACGCCGCCGCCGGCCGGGGCCCCGACCGAGCAGGCGCCGCGGGCCAAGGGCCGCCCGAGACGGTCCCCCGAGAGCCACCGGAGGAGCAACTCACCTGAGAGAAGGAGTCCCGGCTCGCCCGTGTGCAGAGGTAGCGAGCCCAACCCTCCCGTCCTCCCGGGCTGCGTCTCCCCGACGGTGCCCTCCGCGGAAACTTCAGCCTCTCCGGGCTTCTCTATGCTAGTGCATTATCGAAGGTGTGAAAGTGGCTTTGGGAATCTCACCCTCTGCGGCCGCTGCGGGGCTTGGAGGAGCGAACTGCGAAGCAACTTTCATTTGACCCTCCTGCCGCCCCTCAGATTTTCTCTTCCATCACTCACCTGCGTGGAAAGGGTTTTCAATTTAAGGAGCTGATGAGCTCACTCATGTGTTGGCTGTTTGTAGCGGTGGCAAGGAGGAGTTGGGCGAAACACTTAAAAAACACGCACACAAACTCTCCAGCAGCCTCTTTGTGCTTTCCTACAAAGTTCCTAATGTCTGTGACTACCGGGATAATTCTTCTTTTCTTTGGAGAGGTGGTGGCATTAGTTGTGATGGAAGATATTTGTGGTAAGGATGTGTAGAGGGGACAGTTTGGGATGTGCAACCGGAACGTAGAGTGTTTTGTTTTGCTCCCCCCACCTTTCGTCTCTGTCTAGTCCTATACATCAGAACAGCACTGCACTGGGAACAGTTCATGCCCAAGTCAACATTTTCACGGTAACATTTGAAGACCTGTTTGTGAAGTGTGCTCAGTTTTCCCTTCCATTTTTAAGTACGCGTAACAGTTCAGTTGAGCTGTTAAAGGATCTCAAGTTTCTTTTTTGTTGGGTGTCAAAGGTAATGGTGAGTTGGTGGATGCTGTCGGCTTCCCTTAAGGTTTTTTCTGTTTTGGTTTGGTTTTGTTTTATGTCTAGGGACACAGTGCATGATCTAGTTGAGTCCTCGGGGAGAAAAGGAAGGTTAGCCAAAACAGGGACTTAAAGCTCATAAGGGAGAGTGGAGTAGCAACTAATATTAGATACCAGGCTAGAGCTACAGATGCTGCTGCTGCCGCCGCCGCTGCCGCCGCTGCCGCCGCTGCCGCCGCCGCCGCTGCTGCTGCTGCTGCTGCATTGTGGAGAGAACAGATCATACTAAGTGGAAAATCTCTGCTTGGAAGGGAAACACTGTGGAGCTCTCTCTCTCTGTACAATGTTTATGTGGTATGTGGAATTTTTTTAATGGAGTTTTCTTGATGAAGGTCTTAGACTTGGGGAAAGTGGTTGTGTTATGATAGATTACAGTTTTGGTGTTTTTGTTTTAATATTTCTGACCTGTAATTAACATGTTGTCAAGGCACTTGTTTTGAGACCACTTGATGGTGAGGCAAGGTAGGACGTAGTGCAGTGGTATGTGTACAGGAGCACCAAGAATTACATCCTGTAATCTGTATGCACCAGGAGGAATTTGCTCCCCCACTCCTCCCCCAGGTCAAGCCAGCTGCTGCAGAAACTGACATCCTCCAGCAAATCCTGAATGAATGAATGAAAACAACGTGATCGCCCTAATAATGACCACCACTGAACACACATCTTTGGCTGTATTTTATAGAAAAGGCCACCATTTTCTAACAGATTAATGCCATATGCAGCTCTCTTGCATATTTTTTAGAGCTATATGAAATTAGAGGTAACAGAATGAAAAGACAGCAGTTACATAAATTTTTGAGTGATTTAGCTTCAACAGTGCATAGATTGAGTTTTGGGATTTTCTTTTAGTTACCAACATAAGAGCCATAAAATAAGCATTCCAGACAGATTGTGTACAGAGCGCTTTGTGGGCAGAGTAAGAGTAGTTTCGGCAATTGCTACAACAATATAATGGCCATCTAGTACCTCCTCCTCTTTTGTTGATAAACACTAACATCTTACAACAGATCATAGTACAACTTGTTTTTCTGCATCCTTCAAAAGCCTTAATTGCTTAGGAATTACATGGTCCATCATCAAGCAGTTTTAATGAAATTTGTGATAAGGCTTAAACTATCCTCTTTGTTGTTGTATGGCACATCCGAGTTTAATGCAGTTTTAATGCAATCATGATGGAAAACACTTCTGAATCTGGTTGTGCAGTAAGTAGACAGATTTTCATCATCAGAGAGCTTGAACTGGGAATGGAAGAGGCTTTTCTGATGTTTTTAACACCAGGTGGTTTTGTCAGTTTCTTACATTGAAGTGATTTTGAATGCAGACTCTTCTGCCCCTGGTCCCCAATTATGTTACCTTTATGTTACTTCTCCACATCTCGCCTGGGTAGAGAGCTACCCAAATTAAAACTGTACAACTATTCTATTCTGTTTACTTATCTATTTGAAATCCTTACTATGAACAGTTGAACAGTTTTTCAAATGGTTATCTACTCAGTTTCTTTGGAATTCTGCAAGGTTCTGACTTGAGTGGATTTTAGTCTCCACAGGTCAAGGCTCCTGCCGCTGCCTCTGCTGCTGCAGACACTGACATCACTATACTGCATGAATGAAAAACAACAACGTGCTCCATTTCTTGCTCTCCACCTCCTTCCTTTACTGCACACTGTTCTGATATGTGTTTGTGTTTGTGTATGTGTGTTTAGATGGTGTTATGCTGGGTATGAAACTACATTTAAAAACGTTAAATTAAGTAGACGATGTCCCAATATGTATTTACTATAGCGGCATGTTGTTTACAAAAAGCTTTAAGTGCTATGAGCATTTGGACTAGAGGTGACATAACTGAGCATTCAGTGTTTTTTTATCTGGGCTAATGGTTATGGAAGAAAATATCTTTAAATATTTTTTTGAAATTGTTTTGCCAGGAACAAATTATGAAACAACATCATTTCTAAACATGTTAGCTCATTATTATCTCCCTCTTAAACATTCATAATATGCATATTTATAGGGTTAAGGCTAGAGTAATAAAAAAATGGTATTTAGATTATTTCATAAGACTGAGAAAAAGTTGAATTCTTTAAATAGGTGCATTCAATTTTAATATATTAGTTTATAAAACCCAGCAAGAAGATAGTAATTTCCTTTATTTTTATAGCTGTTTTAGGCAATTTAAATGGGTATTATAACAGATACATAAATCTCCAAATACATCTTGCTTCTACAGAGAAATGGGGTTTTACGAATTGAAACTATCTTGTTTATGCATGTAAATAATATTTTTGTATTTTCAAAATTTCTTTTGTATTTTCAAACCTTCAAGATTTGTTATTTATATTCATCTCTTTACTTCTACCATTAGCAAAATGTCACCCTCCCCTTGTTTGGTTCTGAAGGGTCTTGAAGGAGTGAATGACAAGCTACTGAATGCATCCTCAGGCTCCCTGTGATGTGTTTGTAATAGATGTAGAATCATAAAGTATTATGCAAATAGTTATTTTTTTGTAATGGTAATACATAAAGTCTACCTTTGAGATAAATAGAACAACAAATGAGAATATAACAGGATGTAGTGTTAAAATTAATGATCATTAAGCTAAAATCAGTGACAACCAAAAGAAAATATAATAAAGTTGCTTCTTTCTGAAACCTAATACAGCAAAACCTATGGATTTAAAAACAGAACAAATACAATTTTTACTGTGCAAGATAGTAGGCAGCAATTGCAAATCCCCTGGTGGTTTTCGTAAAGATTGAACATTAGAGTGAATTATAAATTCTGAAAGATATAAAAACATTTGTATTGGAGTACTCTGGATGGAGAGTACTGCTTTATTAGAGTGCAATTAATCTAGTTAACAAAAATATGGAAGAGCTTGTAATTTATATAGTTTCTGCTATGGAAAATAGCATGCGTTGATTTCTGATTTAACATAACAGATTTTTAGGCCTAGTACTCTAACAGATAACTAACTCTAGAGTGAAATTTGATTAGAATTTTTCATGAGTGTCTTGAGGGCCTTATTGTCTTATACATTAAGAAGTTATGATTATATTTTAAAAGAAAATACTAAGCCAACCAGCATATAATGTTGAATGACTGCATGCAATGTGTGTGTGTCTGTGTGTTTTAATCAATTAATTTGCTTTCAGTTTTTTATATCTTCATTAAATTTCCTTTTACGAGTCATTTTATGCTGTGCTTAGTTTGTGGAATGCCAATATTTTAAATTACTTTTTTCTCTAACTTTTAAAAGATACTCAGACATTCTCTTCCTGTAAAGTTACTTCTCAGGTGAATGTTCTTAGAAATTAAGGTTCTCCTCCTGTCCCCACCTCCCCTTTTAAAATTAATGTTCTTAGATTGCTTGGAGGAACTTATTTCAAAGCTTCCCTATACTTAGAGTGAAAATGGTTAAAGTGTGCCTTTTTTTTTTCCCCCTGAAGTGACAGGTTTCAAATATCTTTTTTGGGAAAGGTTTTCAGCCTTTGAGAACTACACTAAGTATCAACATTCATTATTTATGTATCTAATATTCCTCATCAATTATAGTGCATAAAATTTCTAGATCAGTGGGTGAATAGCAAAATAGTGAATTTATAGAAGTTATTTATTCTTAAACTACTGTCTTTTGTTCAAAGATTATATTCCTTTCAAATAACTATCACCCTAAACATATTGAATATCATGTACCTAAGGTCTTTCAAAGAACCGAGGTCAATTTAGTTCTCTATAAAAGTTTTGTGTGTAAATATTGAACTAAAAATTATTTCATCATTTAAAGTACTTTCTATGGAAGGACATTTCATTTACTACAGTGTACATTTCTTCGGGGATTTAATGCAAATTAGGATTTACGTATTGGGGAAATATTGAAGTTACCAGTAATGGTGTCCTTATGATTATTATTTTGTGGTAATATGGACTAAATGTGGATTAGAAAACGAAGGAGTGATTGGTCTCCATGGCAATAAATAACAATGGAAATAAATAGCAATGTTCATCGATGGCTAATAGGAGAGGGTTTTACTTAAATCTTAAATTTAAAACATTTTTAAAACCTGTTTCATCAAAACTTACACATGTAACTAAAACTTTCACATCTGCTAAAGAGCATATAGTAAAGACTTTGTTATTCCTAATTTTAGTTCAGTCTTTTCTCCAGAGCTTAAAATTCCCAGACACCACCAAGATAGGCTTT